GTGCTCCTGCCCTCACTCAGCCTCGGTCTGGTTAATCTGGTAACTGTCCCCAAAACATCAACACGCGGCCGTGGCCAGTGCTACGAGAGAGAATGGCCTGGTGTCACGGCAGCGGGTCACAGGGGTATGACCCAGTGCACGTGGAGGAGGGGAGGTGGTCCAGACAGGCTTCTCCGCGGGTGGGAATGGGGGAGCCAGGGTCTAATGAGAGCGACGCTGCCCCCATTAACCCTCTCAACAGCCCTGCGGGACAGGCGCCAGGCCCGGTCCCCAAACACGGACACAACCCGCCCCGTGTCCCAGCACTCTCCGGGCAACCTGTCCCCAGTAAGGTTTTTTTTGTTGGTTTTGTTTTTTTTTTTAATTAAGATGCAACAATCATCCCACAGCCGGCTTCCCCTCCAGCAATCGGTTAAAATGAAGTCCATACGACTGGATTAGACTTTGAAGGTGCCGATCTAGATAATGAACAGGAGGACGCGGTGTTGACACAGGCCCTGGTGAGCTACATGATTATTTAACAGGCCTCGCTGCTGTCCCGCTGGGATCAAGGAGCTGAACAAGCAGTTGGTGGACGAGCGTCAAGCCGAGAGACAGACTATGGGCACTGGCCCCGCGGGGGACAGGCTCAGTGAGGTCAGGGGCGGCTGACGGGGCGCAAGCGGGCCTAAATGGAGACGGCTGCAGGGGGCGGGGGCGCAGCTCAGGGGCCTGGTCCCGGGGAGCCCTCCGAACTGTGTCTGCGCACCATCGGGCTGACTGCGGCCCGGCTCACGGTGCCTCCCCTGCTCCAGCATCATCCCCGCCTCCTCCCTTCCTGCCCTCATCACAGACACGCGCCTGCCTGGCCCGGCTCGGGGGTCCTGACCTCCAGGAACCTCGCCTGCTCCTGTCCCTCCTCTGGCTGCATCTGGCACCCCTCGTGGCTCCCTTGGGTTCCCGCTGGGCCTGGGCCTGCCCCCTCCCGGTCTCCCCACCCTGGGTTGATACTGACTACCCCAGGTCTGCTCCCCACACTGGACTCTGAGCTCCCTGCAAGCTGAGAGCAGGTGCTACTCGGGTCCGTCGATCCCTGCAGCACCCCACACAGAGGGCCTGGAAATCAGGACACCCCCCTGTCCGTCCACCATGACTATTTACTCAGATCACTGCTATGTAAGCTGGACACCGGGGAAATGAAAATGAACAGGCAGCAATCCTTAGCCTGGGAGACGAGTTGGCGGAGAAAGCAAGTATAGGAACGAATGACAGTTCCCAGGAGCTACGTGTAACAGGACAGAAACTGCAGGGGACAAATGCAGCCCAAAGGAGACAGCCTTCCATCTACCCAGGCGGCCAACACAGAGGTCAAGAGCAGACTCAGAAGTCAGATGCCTGTGCTCGGAACCCAACTCCTCCTCCTTCTAGCTGTGTGACCTTGGGCAAGTCACTTAACCTCTCTGTGCCTCTGTTTCCTCATCCGTGAAGTGGGAACAATAACAATGCTCATCTCATAGGGTGACTTGAGGGTTAAACAAGTTAATTCATGCAAAATACTTAAAACCCATACCTGATCCCCACCAAGTACTCACGATGTTTCGGTTATTATTATTTCCTGGGGGTGGGAGAAAACCAGGCAAAGCCTCTCAGAGTCGACGCGAGGCCGACGTTAACTCACTGTGTCTTCACATCTGGCCCAGAACCCCGCTCACCACACCTGCAGCCAACGCTGCAGAACCCCGCTCACCACACCAACGCACTCCGGGGCCTTCTGGCTTGGAGCACCGAGCAGTTGTATCTCAAATCCCCATCGAGGGTTTTCTCAGGCCTGGGGCAGAGGCGCGCGCCGGGCCCTGGGCGGCTGTGCGAGAGCACGGCAGCCCGGACGGCAGCCGGGTCTCCAGGCTGCTCCCCCAGGCCTGGCTGACCGTGTGCTGGGCACCAACGAGAGCCTCACTAGCTGCGGCCGGACGGAGCTTGCTTCCAGAGCCCCGGTGCTGAGGTGGGCAGGCTTCCTCTATTCCAAGCGGCAGCAGAGTGCAGCTTTATTAAAAATGCACGGCGATCACCTCATCGCTGGAGGGTTGTGGGGACCGCATGGCACAGCGCGCGAGCTTTCCGGTCTCCCTGGCCGCAGAGGGGGCGCGTGCTCCCTCTGACCCGCCACCCCTTCTTCCGTCCAGCCTCCTGCACCCGACGCCCCCCCGACACCCCCCGTGGCGTGCAAAGCAGATGAAAGGCCATATTGATCCCTTCTTGAGCAGCTGATCCAGAACTAATCTTGAATCATCACGGCCTTGAGCTGCAGCACGGTGGCCGCATGGCCCCAGGGCCGGTCGGGCCAGAGCGGGGCTCCCAGGCCTCGGTAGGACTGTGCTGCGGCTGGTGGGCAGCAAGATCGGGTGAGAGATGGCCGGGGCCCGGCCTCACCCGTGTCCTGCCCTCCGTCCAACCGTCCCACCCTCCCAGGACCGCCGTCGGCAGGAGGCGAGGCCCCTGCCAGTGACCCAAGACGATGGCGCGCCCGGGGTGCGGACACGTGTGACACCGACCCAAAGGGAGCTGGATTCTCCAAATAAGCCGTAACGAGGATTTAGGTTAGGGACCTGATTACGGGGATGACTCATGCTCACTGAACACCTGCTGTGTGCCAGGCCCCGGGGTGAAATAACCGTTTTCCATAAATGTTCTCACTCGACCCTCTAGAAGTACTGTTAACATCTCACTTTACGGATGAAGCGACTGAGGCCCAGGAAGGCTCAGTGCCTGGTCCAAGGGTGCACAGCTTGGCAGAACAGAGCAGGGCCACCCAGCTGGCCGGCCAGCTGCACACCTCCAAGGGCTTGGGACGCCCAGAGAACCCGGCGTGCGGGGCGGGGGGTGTGGCCAGGACAAAGATGGGGCCACTGCCTTTGGTGATGGCCCCCATTCCCTCTCCAGGAAGTCTCAGGGCCCGGGGGAGGGGGGTGGAGAGGGGAGGGGAAGAGATATGTTCTGCTGTGCCGCTCAGGCCCCACTGCTCACACCTTCTCCCCAGCAACCAACAGCCACTGACCCCCCCCGCCCCCCGCCACAGGCCTGTGCTTTCTGGGTCCTCAGGACCTTCCTCAGACAATTCTTCTTCTGAAACACCTCTTCGTTCACATCCTGCCTCCCAATGTCCTCAGCTGCCTCCTCTCTCCCACCCCTGCCCCATTTCCCCTGTTGGCATCAGGAGCAGGTCCTCTGGCCAACAGGGGACTCGAAGAGCCTACACCTTCTCATCTCATCCTCTCTCTGCTCTTGGCTTCTTCATATCTCTGGGCTCACTTTTCCCACGTAGAGAACAAGGTTGTGTCTCCCCCATCGGACTGGAGGCCCTCAAGGGCAGGGCTGGGCCTTCCCCCATCAGACTGGAGGCCCTCAAGGGAGGGGCTGTGTCTCCCCCATCAGTCTGGAGGCCACCATGTGCAAGACTGGGACCCCTCCTCCCTTCCCCAGCTGCCCTCAACCAGGCCCCAGTGCTCAGCTGCCGGCCGAGGGCCCCTCACCACTCTCCTCCGAGAGTCAGAACCTGCACAGGGTTCGAGCAGGGGAGAGCAGAGGCGGCACCCGGGCCTGCTGTGAGGACAGTGCAGGGACACTGGGGGAGGGGCTGCAGGAGGTGAGCCAAAGGGTCCAAGACGGGCCTCATCCTTCCTCCTGCCTGGGGGCTTGAGACCCAGGAGTTTAGGGGACCCCGAAGGCCCTGGGGAGCCAAGTCTCCCTGCTCTCCTTCCTCTCAGAAGGGGGAGGAGGTAAGAGGCCCTTGGAGCAAGTGCAGACAAGCCCCCAGAGCAAATCAGGCGCTGGGAAGGGGGCCTGTGGCTACAACGGCTCAGGGCTCCCCTCCCCGCTCTGGCTTTCCCCCCAGGAAAAGGAAAAAGAACAAGAAATCCAGAGCGGGAGGTAGCAGACTCCTTCCTGCTCACGCCTCCCTGGCCCCTCCCTGGAGTGTCCCTCCCCCTGCGTCCACCCTGCCCCTGGCCAGGCCCAGCTGCACCAGTGAGGTCACAGGTCCTCAGGCTCTGTCCCCAGAGCGGAGCCCAGGAGTCACCTTCAGCCCCCAACCCCCTTCTCCTCTAAAGGACAATTAGAACTCAAAGCCTCAACCCTCTGGTTCTATTCGCCCACAGCTCCCTGGGCCTCAGTCTCCCCCCCTGACCCGGCTCCCATCACCTTGATCTTACGACGGCAAGACTCCTGTAGTGCTCTCGCCTGCCTGTCGAGTAGCCAATTTACAGCCGGTCTGTAGAGATGACTGACCAGGCGAGCAAACGGTAATGGTCCCCCCTCACAGAAGCTCGCCCAGGGCATCGGTCTGTTCCGACCCTGAGCCTGAACCCAGACCTCTCTTCTGGGCCCGGTCATCAAGGCCTCATTCCACGCTGATAATCCAGACAAATCAAATGATGGCAAACGTCACCGAAATACCACTGTGGAGCCACACCCAAGTCTCACGCCTGCCACCCAGGATGGGCCCCGGGGTGTGGAGAGACGGGGTGGGCAATGCTGTTGGGCGGCGACAGGCACGGGCCCAGGCTGAGTCCAGACGGAGGCCCCGCGTGGAGGCCCTCATCCCAGGGGCCAAGGCGCAGGCCGTGCTCCGCCCACAACGGAGCAGGGAGCACCCAGCAGCCTCCAGGTCCACACTATTTAAAGAGCCCAGCCCCCAGGACAGCTGCATCCACACTGGCCTCCCCTCAGCACAGCCAGGCCCTGGGTACAGTGCAAGGCAAGGACCCCAGTTCCAGCCCCACAGGCAGCAGGAGATCACGGCTCAGCCCAGTGGTCGTGACCCTTCCCCTCCAGGCAGCCCATCATCCAGGGATGATGCCGGGGCAGAGGGCAGGGCCCGGCAGCGATTTGGGGGCCCCTCTGCTTCTCAGCAAACCCTCACTGATCCCTGAGACACAGCTGGAACCATGAGAAGGGTCTGCAGGGCTCTGCCCAGCAAGACGGCCCGCGGGCCGGCGGCCTCGAGCCACAGGTAGGGCCAGTACCTGAGTCTGCAAGCTAGTGGCATCTAACACAGTGACCCGAGGCCCACAGCTGGCCCACACGGCATCCTCCAGGCTCAGCAGGGTGCGGACAGGTCCTGGCCCCACAGTCAGGCACACGGGAGGGCTCTCCAGGTCCCAGGGGACACCACCTGCAGGGAGAGGAAAAAAGCAGGTCAGGAGCGGGGAGGGGCACTCCTCAACCCTTGGGAACGGATGGGAACCCTCCGCAGAGGGAGCACCTGCTCGACCCTCTCTGTGGCCCTTCTCCCTCCTCCAGAGGGTCGGGGCTGTTCGTACCTGCCTCCGTTGTGCCCCACCCCCTCTGGGGGCTGAACCCCCCAGTTCGCCCTCCTGCTCCCCTCCTTTATCTTTCCCGCTTTCATTGCCTCCCTCTCTCCCTTTCCCTCTCTCTTCTGTTCATCCCACGCACACTTGGTGAGCGCCAACTCGGTGCCAGGCCACGTGCTGCGCCCTGGCAAGAGCGCAGACCCTGCCCTCAAAGAACCCCCCTGCTGGCTGGAGAAGCCAAGGGGCCGGTTGATCAGCAGTCCCCATACAAGGTGACAGGCACGAGTGACCGGGCACGCACAGCGGGCCTTGAGGACTTCGAGATAAAGGGGAAAATTCGGCACAGGGGAAGAAATCCCAGGAGGTTTCCCAGCATCGGCAGCATCCGCACAGTCCTGCCAAGAAGGCCGCACAGCATGGTGGGAAGTGCCTTGACCCATCTCTCCCCCCATCTCAGGGCCTCAGTTTCCCTATCTGTAAAATGGGGCAACCACCAACGTGGTCTCCGAGGACTTTTTCTACACGTTTCTGGCCGACTCTTGCCATCTCTGAGACCTTGCTGTCTCCAGGACACTCTGTCACCTGTACCAAGAGCTCTGATGACCTTCCTCCTCCAGAGATGCCTCCACCTCCGGGTACAGAAGAGGAAGCCTGAGGGGCAATTAGTCCACAGTCCACCACCCCTGGAGACGGAACAGAACAAGAGACCTGACCCGGCTCTGGACACGATTCTCCCCTGCCCACCCCAGGGGTGCTCGGCCGACCCGAGAACATGCCTGGAATATCCCCGGGTGTGTGAGACAGGCGTTTCTCTGAGGTCACACTCAAGGCCACACGGAACCCCCGGGGCCACCCTGTCTTGCCAGCATACCGGGTGAGAAGTGGGGGGCGTTGAGAGGGAATCTGGGGCACACTATGGAGACAGGCGGCAGTGGCTGGGGCCTGGGAAGAGGGCAGAGGCTGCTGCTGGCGTGCCAGTGCCCGGCCGCCCTGACAGCCCCCCCACCGGGTCCCTGTCATAGCCCATCCCTCCGAGCCAGCTGCTGGGGGCCAGGGCGGGGCATGACGGGGCACAGCTGTCTGCAGGGCTGGGGGGGCCACCGGGGCACCCGGTGGAAGTCGCCGCTTGGGTGCATCGGGAGGAGCCCTCGGAGGACAGACCAGATGCCCTACCACCCCCGACCCCCAGCTTTCCCTCTTCCTCTACCCCTCCCCCACCCGTAAAGCAGGGTCTCCTCTCGCCCTTCTGTCCCACTGACAGCTGGCAGACTCCCGGGTCAGCTAGGAGGTGGGGCATAGGGTCTTTCCAGCCCATGAACATGAACACACGGGGAGTAGGCTGGGCCAGAACCCTGGCCGCAGCCCCCAACCTTCTGCAAGACCTTGGACAGGGGACTTCACCTCTCGGAGCCTCATCTGTAAAATGGGCGTGACAGGCGCGCCTGCACGTCGCAGAATCAGAGGAGACACGCAGAACACAGCACGGGGGTGGCACCCAGTCAGGAACACTGACAGCTTTGACCTGCCAGGCGCTCTGCTCGTGAGTCGTTTCCTGAACTCCTGGCAAGCCGGTGTGGAAGGCGCTATTCTTATCCCGGTTTTACGCCGAGAAAACGGACACAGAGAATTTAAATAACTGGCCCAAGCGATGCGGCCAGAAAGCCTGCAGTTGCCCGCTAGCTCTTGTCGGGTGTCATTTGCTACAAAACAGCAGTGTGCAGAAGCAGGTGTGGACTCGCCCTGACTGACGTGACAGCAGAGACCCAGACAGCTGAGAGGTTGTGCAAAGCCACCCGAAGGGTGACGGGCCAAGCAGGGCTTGAACTCCGCTCACTGATCCTGGCCTCCTTCCCCAACCCTGGCGCCCTCTCGGCTTCCCAGAGTTTCCGACGGGCTCTGGGATCAGGACTGGGGTCTAGGATGGTGAGTGACCACACGGTGGCCGGGCCTCCACAAGGGATGCTGACCCCCTGGCCCAGACACCAGAACCACAAACTGCAAGGCTTCTGGCGCCCCCCAGTGGCCAGAGGTGAGTAGTGCGTGTGTGTGGCTGAACTACTGTGGCTGGGGTGGGGCTGTGACCTCTTGGGGGGTGGGGGGAGGGGTTGGTGAGCAGGCGGGGAGCAGCTGGGGATGCTGGGACCACACGTGAAAACAAGGGAGTGGGGGCTCTGCCCCGTGGGCACACTGGTGAACTGTCTACCCTGTGCTTTTCTAGCACAGAGCACAGTCATGGCTGCCTGGGGTGGGGGGTGGGGTCTGAGCCCTGAGGGCCACATCACTCTGACCCCTCCTCCAGAAACCCCCCAAGGCCTGACTCCAGGACAAAACGATAAACTGTGGCAAAATTTAATAAGATGTTTGTCTATCAAAAAGGGCACCGGACAGGCTCCAACAGGCTCTAACGAGCTGAGCCTCAGTTTCCCCGAGTGCACCACAAGAGGCCAGAGCTCAAGGGCTCCTCCCAGCCCTCCCGAGCCACAACCTTAGGATTTTAAATGCAGTCACTGTGAGCTCGGGGCAGGGCTGACCCCGGTCCCCTCCGTGCCCTGCAGCGGCTCTGGGTAAGCCCGCACACGTCCTGGCACACACGTGCACACTCACATGCACACGCCAGCCCCGAGTGACAGCCTATCCGTCTGGGCCCAGGACCGGCTCTCACGCCAGACGAAGGGAGATGTCTCAGCAAAGGCACCTTCAGGAAGCAGCTGGTCTCCCTCAGGGACGCTCACCCCGCTGGAGTCACAGGTCAGGACACAGAGGGAACGTCCTCGGGGCCGAGAAAGGCCCAAAGGGCAGCCTGAGCCCAGCAATAACGACAGTGACGATGATGGTGACAGGAGCTAACAGGCGCCTGTCCCGATACTTCCCGGGCTCCATCTGGGCACCTGACTCATCACATGGGGCCTTCACATCCACTCTGTGTGCGGCTGCCTTCACACCCATTTTACAGGTGGGGAAACCGCGGCTCAGAGAAGGGAGGCAATAGGCCCAACCTCTCACAGCTGGGACTCCATCCCAGGCAGCCTGACTCCTCAGTCCATCCCCTTACACATTCCATCATCTGCCTCCTCGAGGGGGTGGCCCTGGCCCTCGTCCCCAGCACCTAACCAGGGACAGCCCCATACCCATAACCCTCCTCTGCCTGCTCAGAGATGGGGTGACAGAGGGTACCTGGAGGTAGCTCCACTCAAACACAGGACTGGGCAGGGACAGCAGCCACCTGAGTCATCTCTGGGTCCCAGTGCCCTGCTCAGGGCCTCGCACCTCATGGACACTGAATACGTACTTGTTGAGTGAATGGAAGAACGAATGAATGAATGTGTGAGTGAATGAGTGAGTGAGTGAGTGAATGAATGCACGCAGGTATGCAGAGGCTCCCGGGGAGCAGCAGAATGACTGCCGTGACCACATTGCTCTTGGCCTTGGACTCCAAGGCCCCTCCAGCTCTGCCGTTACGGAACTCTGTGTGGCCTGGTGGCCTTGGAACCCTGTCATGTCTCAGCCGCTGCTTCCGCAGGTCCCAGGACTTGGGCCAGTCCCCCGTTGGCTCTGCACCTCTTCCTTAATATTTCTGGGCCTTCCCTTCTGCAATGAGCCAGATCACGGGCCAGAAATCCCCGTTTTACTAGGTCTCGGTCTCAGCCAAACCCAGGCAGGACGGTAAGCCTGACTACAAACACGAATATTCCGTCCGGCACTGGCTGCGAGCCCACGAAGGGTCTGTGTCCAAATTTCCCCTTTTTATAAAGACATCCTTGCGCTGGATCAGGAGCCCACTCTACTCTACTGTGATCTCATCCTAACTAATCACATCTGCAACAACCCTACTTCCCAGCAAGGTCACGGTCTCAGGTTCCAGGGACTAGGACTTGAGCCTCTGAATTTGGGGAGGATATAACTCAACCTATGCTAGAAGATGTGGGTCTAACTATTGGCTTTCAGCCCAGAGCTGAACCAGAAAGGCTCCACACCCGGGGCGCCTGGGTGGCTCAGTCGGTTAAGCGTCCAGCTTCGGCTCAGGTCGTGATCTCAGAGTTGGTGAGTTCAAGCCCCACATCGGGCTCCATGCTGGCAGCTCGGGGCCTGAAGCCTCTTCGGATTCCGTGTCTCCCTCTCTCTCTGCCCCTCCCCTGCTTGCACTCTCTCTCTCTCTCTCTCAAAAATAAACCAACATTAAAACAATTAAAAAAAGAAAAAGAAAGGCTCCAAACCCTCATTTTTTCGAGGTGGGAAGGGACTTCCCAAAGGCCCATGGGTGAGCCAAGCATGAACTTAGGTGTCCTCAAGTGGATTATTCACAATTCCCAGACTCTCCAGGCCACCAGGAGCACCAGAGGGGGCTCCACCAGCACAGGGCTGCAGAGATTGGCCCAGGAGCTCTGGGGCTGGGATGGGGTATAGGTATCTGAGGCCTCAGTGAGTCTGGAGGGGGCCCCACAGCTAGGTCATGGGCCAGGACGATGATTCCAGGCCCTGCCACATGCAGCCGAAGTGAAAGGTCATGGGGGGGACCCTCCCCCACCCTACACCGTGAGGCAGGTCCTGAGAGCCCCTCCGCCCGCCCCCGGCCTTCCTGCCTGGACCACCTCTGGAGGATAGCACAGAAAGAATGGGGGAAGGGGGAGGCCGGGCGAGACAAGGCCTCTCCCAGAGGCCTCCCTGGCCAAAGCCAAACCGAAGCCCCAGAGGGTGGGCTCCAGAGAGAAAGAGTGAGCCCAGGCCCATTTGGCCAGCCGGGTGTGACGGCCTCCCAGCCAGCCTCCCTGCCTCCTCTCCCGTCTGCCGGCCGCAGGGCAGAGTGCTCAGCCTCTTCCAACATTCTATTTCCCATCGACTGAGACAAACCCAAGGCCCACCCTATCAGCCATCTGCTCCCAGACCCTGCCCCCTGCCACTGCCCCCCTGGTTACTGCCCAGCTTCAGCATCCCATGCCTCGGAGAGGCCTTTGCCCACCAGCCCACCCCATGCCCGGGGGTCAGGCCCTCACGTGCCACCCTGTTTCCCCCCAACGCCCCTCAGCGTGATGTATAACCATAAGCTCCCTACCTGTCCACTTGACTGATTCTGTCTCCCGCTACAGGCTATCTACATTCTCCAGGGTCACACCTGTTTTGCCGGCCGCCATATCTATGGCACATAGCAGGTGCTCAGCAAATACCTGGTGACAAGCGTCTGCAAGGCAGCAAAGCTGGGAGAGTGACTAGCGGATCTCAGCCCCTCCTCCCGGCCCGATGGCCTCCAGCTCCGCTCGGGGAAGCCCAAACCCCCTTACGTCTGGAGAGGGCCCTGGCCCTCGCAAGAGGACTTGGGCTCGGGCTCACCCACGGCACTTTGGGAAGTCCCTTCCCACCTGGAAAATGAGGGCGTGGAGTCCAGTGGTCCCCAGTGGCCTTTCTGGTTCTGACAAAGCACCAGGCTCTAACCCTGGGCTGAAAGCCAACGGTTAGACCCCAGGCCCCCGTTATGGGTGTTATGTCCCCCGCAAATTCGTAAGTTCATGTCCTAAACCCCAGGACTTCAGAATGTGACCTTATTTAGAAGTAGGGGTGTCACGGATATAACTGATTAAGATGAGGTCATACTGGAGTAAGGTGGGCCCCTAATCTAATAGGACACAGGGGAGGCAGCCATGGGAGGGCAGGTCCTGTGGCCAGAAGCCAAGGAAGCACCAGAAGCTGGGACAGGAACCTGGAACAGACCCTTCCCTCCCGGCCCTCAGAAGGAATCGACCCTGCCAGCACACTGGTCTTGGACTGCTGGCCCCCAGAGCAGGAGGTGGTACAGTTTGTGGTGTCTCATTAAGGTGGCCCCAGCGATCTCACCCCGCCCCCCCACCTCCTCCCACCCCCATGCCCAAACTGGTAAGTCAGGAACCAGGAGGCAAAGGGCCAAGGGCAGCCCCTAGTGGGGACCCGGGCGGCCAGGGCAGGGCAGGGCTCGCGGGATTCAGCAGGAGCCACAGGGTACAGGTCCCCTTGGAACCCCCCGTTTAGATCTCCAAAAATCAGGGTCCACGTTTACACTCTCACACATGCAACATCTGTCGGTGAGAGGGATTTTTTTTTTCCCTCCCTCTTCCCCCTTTAATTAAAAACTATAAATGCCTTATCAAAAGCTAATTAAAAATACCAACACAGTGCCAAGTGGCAAAAACATAGCTCCGTGCAAATATCCGTTTATATCCTTGCAACAGGCAGTGATGACGCAGCAATTAGAGGCTCTCTCAGGAGGGAGGGGAGGGAGGAGGAGAGAGGGAGGGGGACAGAGAGAAGAGGAGGAGAGGGGAGGGGGAGGGGAGAGAAGAGGGAGGGAGGGGAGGGGAGGAGAGAGGAAAGGGGAGGAGAGAGGGGAGGGAAGGGAGAGGAAGGGGAAGAGAGAGAGGAAGAGGGAGGGAGGGGAGAGGAGGAGGGGGAGAGGTCTATGACTGCTGAGCTTCAGACCCATCAGCCCTCTCTGGGCGCCCTGGGGGTGGCTGCCCTCCCACCCCCAGCACATATCTTGGAACCGGGAGCCGAACGAGCCACAAGGGCACAGGGGCCACGGCCTTCTGTGTGGCTGTGCACAACCCACACCCCCTCCCGGACTCCCAAGATCTGCAGTTCTAGAGGCTTGTCGGGAGAATTCAGGTGATGCGCACAAATCAAACACTTCTCCCGTTCCTGGCGCACAGCAGCTCAGACCTGTTAGCCTTGCCCTCCAGACACCATCTGTGCCATCCGTGGCTTGATAACGTGACAGGCGTTCAAATGCTTGACTCCATTTAAGCACTCCCCGTGCCAGGTTGCTTTGCCTGGCCGGGTTGTTTAACCCGCCGGGACCCGTGCACAGCGGGTACAGACATATGCCCATTTCACAGACGAGGAGACCCAGGTGCAAAGAGAAGCCGATCGCCAGCGGACACAGCCATCGACAGGGCAGTGAGGGGACCCCAGACCCCAGAGTCTTTGTGACCCAGAGTCCCTGCTCTTCCCAGAGCCTCCTGCTAATGGGGTGAGCTGCCTGCACGGTAGTGAGCGGCCTGTTCCCGCAGGGACCCCCATGGAATCTCTAACTACCCCCAGACTCCCCGATTTGTGTCTGAGCTGCCTCCTTGGCCTGCCTCCCGCGGCCGCTCGCAGGCAGTGCCCGGGGCCGCCCCCCACTGCCCCCAGCACCGCCATCCTCACCACTGGTCCGAGGGTAGGCGGCGACGGTCCCATCCTGCAAACCAGCGAACAGGTGGAAGGGGCTATGCCGCAGGCAGAGCACAGGCTGCAGGCCTGGGCTCCTGCAGGTCGCCAGGCACTGGGTACCCGTGTCCACGCTGCCGTAAACCAGGATGCTGTGGGGAGAGGCCCGAGTGACTCACGGAGCCCCCTCCCCCCACCGCCCCACAGGCCCTCCCGCGGAGAGGGGTCTGGGGGCTCCCCAGCTCAGCCAGGCCTCCCTGCCATGGCAACAGGCCGTTGTCCCACTCTTTGGGAGCCTGCACTTGGCCATGGGTGGTTCTTTGGAGGACGGCACGCTCCCCACCCCTGGTGCCAGGGAGAACTAGGTGGGAATCTCGAGAGGCGGCATGATCAAGGTGCCGAGAAGACTGTTTTCAGGGGGCACCTGGGGGGCTCAGTTGGTTAAGCGACCGACTTCGGCTCAGGTTGTGATCGTGCAGTTCGCGGGTTCGAGCCCCATGTGGGGCTCCGTGCTGACAGCTCGGAGCCCGCTTCCGATTCTGTGTCTCCCTCCCTCTCTGCCCCTCCCCCACTCACACCCTGTCTCTCTCTCTCTTTTTCAAAAATAAATAAACATTTTAAAAAATTTAAAAAAGGGGGCGCCTGGGTGGCGCAGTCGGTTAAGCGTCCGACTTCAGCCAGGTCACGATCTCGCGGTCCGTGAGTTCGAGCCCCGCGTCGGGCTCTGGGCTGATGGCTCAGAGCCTGGAGCCTGTTTCCGATTCTGTGTCTCCCTCTCTCTCTGCCCCTCCCCCGTTCATGCTCTGTCTCTCTCTGTCCCAAAAATAAATAAACGTTGAAAAAAAAAAAAATTAAAAAAAAAAAATTTAAAAAAGAAAAAAAGTGTTTTCAGGACCCCACAGACACAAGTGGGAATCCAGACGTGCCGCCTTCCAGCGGACTGACCCCAGGCTGTTGTGCCTCAGTTTCCCCCATGAAATGGGGCAATGATGCCGGCTTCATGGCCAAAAAGGAAATGAGGCCGTGACACGCGCCTCCTCCCCAGGCCCCTCACCTGCCATCCTGGAGCCCGAGGCAGATGGTCGGATGCACTGCAGCTGAGGGCTCAGCGGCCACATGGCCCTCGTCTCCGCTCTCCCCCTCCTCCGGCTCGGGAATGTACTCCATGCAGAGCACAGGGGCTGCCAGCGGGAAGGACTTGACCGTGCGTGGCGAGGGCCGGTTCAAGGAGAAGATCTCAACCTGGCCCCCTGCACCTTCCTGCCCGCCCCCAACCTGTGGCAGAGACCCGGAGAGGCCGTCAGGCACAATCGCCAGAGCAGGGACAGAGCTGGGCCCCCACCCTCCCAGCGACGTGCCCCAAACTTCAACTGAGGTTAGGCATCGGGAGGAGCATTCCACCCCCCTCCTGCCCCCACACGTCCTGCTGTCACTGGAGGTCATGCTTCCCCAGTTGCCATAGCAACAAGTTAGTCCAAACGAAATCAGTTAAGGAGCTAAGGTAGACTAAACACCAAGTCAGCTCTATTTCCCCATCTTTAGGGTGAATTTCAACCAACAAATAGTGAACATACATGTGCTCCTTCAAAATGTTCTTCTCTTATTTACCATTCTACTTCTGTGTCACGCACAGTAGGCACTTAATACACACTTGCTGAATGGATGGACAGATGAATAAACGGATGGAAGCAAGGGATAGAAAAGTGGGTAGATAGATGAGCAGATGGATAGATAACTGTATGGATGAGTGGGTGGATGGATGGATGATTACACGGATAAGTGGATGGATAGATGGGTGGATGAGTATATGGCTGGCTGGCTGGTTGGATAGTTAGATGGTTGGTTGGATGGATGGATGGACGGACGGGTGGATGGATGATTGGCTGGATGGTTGGATGGCTGGATGGTTGGCTGCATGGTTGGTTAGATGGATGGATGGATGGATGGATGGATGGATGGATGGATGGATGGTTGGATGGATGGTTGGATGATTGGTTGGATGGTTGGATGGCTGGCTGGCTGGCTGAATGGATGGATGGATAGATGGATGGATGGAAGGAAGGATGGATGGATGGATGGATGGATGGATGGATGGACGGATGGACGGATGGCTAGATGGTTGGATGAATATACCACATGCTAGAAACTGGGGAAACAGTGAGAAACAAATCACCCTCAGAGGACACTTGGGTTGGACTCTCAAGAGTGAGCCAGTGTTCCTGCCTGAGTGCCTAGATACAGGAATAAGCAGGAACTGGAAAGTGGCCAAAGGGGTGGGGAGGTGGAACCCCAGGCAGCCTATGGGAGAGCACAGGCTGCATCACAAGGAGCGTAAGGGGACCTATTTGAATTGAGAGAGGCTTTGCCAGGAATCCCAGGGGAAAAGAGGTGGGTGGGGGTCTCTGCCAGAGATGAGCAACATCCAGCCCTGCTTCCTGACCCCCAGGGTAAAAGACCCTGACATCCAGGTACTCGGCACAGCTTTGTTCGTTTCCTTCGTGGCACATGGCCATTTGCAACAGCCACGTTCACTTCTTCGTCACTTGGTTTTCTGTCGTCCCTGGTGAAGTCGCATGTGCCAACTCTGAGCACACAGCCCAGTACAGAGGTTCCCAGGAAGACCCTCCTGGCTGAAGATGGACCTAACGGGGGCCAGCAGGCAGGCAGCACCCTCCAGCACCCCCTTCCCGGTGCCACCCTCCCTGCTTCTGTCCTGAGGCCAGAATCCCTGGCTGGGTTCAGGAGTGACTTACCCAGAGGTAGCCCTGTGGAAGGGACGTGCTCACCGCCGAGAAACCCAGCAGGGGACAGCTGACAGGACTGTGGACCAGGGCCCCAAGCTGTGAAGACACACAAGGCACACACGTCTGGCAGCAGGATCTCTGTCTGAACCACCACCTGTGGGGTTGTTAAGCCTGCAGATTTCCGGGCCCCATCAGGCCTCAAATGTGAATCCCTGAGGGGGATGGGGCCGGGAAAGCCCCATAGGATCTCCAGGCAGTTCCTATCCACTCACGTTTGACCAGTGCTCTTCTAGAACCTTCTGGCTAGGAGGCGCCCGAATGATGCTCTGGGCCAGCCACAGATTTCTCAGACTAAGCAACGTCCAGATAAGATTTGATGGAAACCACTGATGCCCACCACCCCCCAATTTCACAGATGGGGAACTGAGGACACATGATTGCCCTAGGCCACGAGAAGATGAGTGCCAGGGCCCAGCCTGCGCCAGCCGCCCTCCTAGGTCTTCCTGAAAAGCACAGTGGAGGAGGGAAGGGGTGCTAGACATCTGGTACCACCCCACTCAACATCAGAACCCCTTGCGGACGAGCTAGACCCGGCCAGTCCGTCTGTCCGGCCAGGGCAGCAGGGTGAGGAGATGGCTTGGCCCTGTCGTGGACGCTGCTGGAACCCGGGGCCAGCGGGAGGGGAAGGAGGCCAAGAAGGGACAGTTCAAGGGTCCCCACCTGCAACGCGGCCACCACGGGACCTTTGCTGGGCAAGTGCTGCCCTCTGCTGGTGGTGAAGGCCCTGGCCCGCCCCGGCCCTGTTGGGATGTTCGAACAAGATGTCCCATGGTTAAAGGTAAGGAAGCCCAAAGAGGTCGCCTCATCCAGTCCCCTCATTCAGAAGTCAGCACACTGAAGCTCAGGGGGGTGGGCATGGGAGGCACATGACTGGCTCAAGGTCACATAGCACGTTAGCAGCGGAGTCAGGGCTGGAATTCAGAGTTCCAGCTCCCTGCCCAGTGCCCTTCCCGCTCTGGTTAATTCTACCCAGAGGCCAGGCCGCCCTACTGGAGGCCTGGGCAGTCACCAGCTCCCACCTCTGCACAGCTGGGAGCTCTAGAGGCTTCCCTTGCCCCGGCCCCCGGGGCCCCCTCAGGCCCCTGCTCCCCAGTCGTTTTGCTTCCTGGTAGGCCACAACCAGCTGAGGCCGCCCAGCACCCCCCTGTCAGGCTGCTGCTCCCGTCCTCACAGACGGGCACGGGGCAACCACAGCCCAGGCTCAGACGTTTCCATGGCAACTCCAGGGGGCCCAGAAGTCAGCCAAATAGAGTCCAGGTCCAAAGTGATGGCAAAAACTCAAACGGCTCGTTGGACGGGCAAGGCCCCGGACCCAGAAGTCCCACCTGTGCCAAGAAGCCAGCTCTCCCAAACCACAGTGCCCCACGCAGCACAGCAGAGAGCGGCTCGGGGCTGGGGAAGGAGACGGGCCGTGGAGGCAGCCAGCCTGGGCTCTGGTCCCAGCTCAGCCGCTACCAGCTGGTGACCCCACAGGCCAGTTCGTCATGCTCACGGAGGCCCTGACATCTCATCAGGATGGTCGTGGGGACTGGAGAGGCAGACAAAAAAGCAGCGGCCGCTGCTGCTTACCAACAACCTCCTGTGCATCACCTTACCTCACGGGCAGGCCCAGGCCAGGAGGGGAGGGCTGGGGCAGGGCTGGGAGGCAGCGGAGTCCTGGCTAACGATGGCCAGGACAGAGGCTCTCGGCCAGCACGCTGAGGCCTAAGCGAGCCTGGAACAGACCCTCTGCAGGTCGGGGCCACAGCCCCGGCCCCCCCGAGGGGCTACGTCCTAGAGCACCTCAGTGCAGGGGGGCACCCCCACCCCTCTCCCCGAGCCCCTGCCCCCAGGTAGGGCTGCAGCTAACGGTGGGGACACCTTTGCACTGAACCCTCCAGGGACAGGCCCCCAGCCTGGATGGGTGCCGCCGGGGTGACCCCGCGGCCGTGACGCCTTCGGAAACCCTCCAGAACAGACGCTCGTGGGGCCCTAAATGTCCTCGGATCTTTGCTTCCATCTCTTGAACTCTGCACACACGCCCCGTGACAGGCCTGCCAGTGCTCGGCATGAAGCGCGCTGCCGGCCAAGGTGGCATTCCCAGCATCACTCGGCTGGAGCTCAGGCCCAGGGACGCGTGTGTCCCAATGACGTCCCCTCGAGGAAGGCCTTGGTGTGGCCCAGCCTGGGCCCCAGCCACCCGCCGGCACTGAGAGGAGAAACGCTCCTTCCTTCAGCCCCCATGTCCCCGTTCCTTTGACCCCCCACGCACGCCCTCATCCAGCTGGCAGGACATAGCACGGACCTCGTCCACGCTGGGAGGGGGCTGGGGCCAGCGAGCGTTTTCCCGGACGGCAGACTGAGTCCTGGGCTCCCAGGAGGCCAGCCGCAGAGCCCGAATCCTGGAGAGAGGCGGCGGGCCAGGGGGCCCAGACAGCGGCCAACAGGCTCACATCTGTTGCCACGCTGGTTGGACAAGGCCCTGGCGCTCCGGGCCCCTAATGCATCTGGCCGCCTGCACAGAGCTGATGGGGCGCATCTGCCCGGTCCGGGGTGGGAGGCAGGTGCAGGCGGAGCGGAAGTGGTGTCTCGGGACCCAGCAGATGGGCACACGCAGGTCCCTCAGGAGCTCCACAGGCTCGCCGCCCCCGGAGATTCACTGGGGGTTCTCTTCGCTCCCACAGGGGGCTCCTCAGGAGGTGGCAGGCGGGGGGCTTGGAGGGGGCTAAGGATGCTCCCCAGCCTACACACCCCCAGGCCCCGAGGGCTCCACATAAGGAGTATGAGGCGGATGATGGCTTCCCAGACAGGTAGGGGTTTCTTTCAGGGGGGCCCTGGGAGCCGCAGCTTGTCCCAGACTTTACTCAGCCCATGAACAGCCTGAGCCCTGGCAGTTGGGGAAAGGGGAAGGGGGGTTGGAAGTCACCCCAGATCAGTCTTCTCCGCAGGAGTCCTAGGACCAGATGAGCCACGGGCAGGGTGGACCCTGAACAGCCTGCACTCCATGGACTCTGCCCTTCTACCCCACCCCTGCCTGGCCCAAAAGGTACGTGAGAACGCCCGCCATGCTGGGAAAGAGCTCACAAGACCCAGCAGGGCCTCCCCATGAATCAATAAATAATCAATCAATAAATAAAGGCCTACAAAGGCTGACTTCCCCAAGCCCTATAGAAATGAACAGCATCTGTCCTTCCCCCCCGCCCCCCCCCCCAGAAATGTTTGGTGGGGGGACCGACGCCAGGGAAAACATCAGCCAAGGCCGTGAGAGGCAGGAAAAGCAGGATGGGGCACGAGTCAAGAAAACTCTCCTTCCCCAGTGGGCGTGGGCAAGCCCTGCCTCTGAGGGCAGCTGGGGGGACCAGAGTTATCCATGGAGAAGTGCCTCGAACAGAGCCGGGCACAGATGCCTCACGAAAGGGCTTGCCACCATATTGTTGCTGCCGCTGCCCCGGCCGCTGCCCCCCCAGCAGCGCTGGGAAGCTCACCCGTCTCGCTCACTGCGCCCCTAAATCAGGCTGTGGCACGGGGAACACACCCCCATCTCCCGACACCACTTGCGGGTACACAAGCCCAAGACCCGTCACGTCCCTCCTGCCCCCGCGGCCGCCCTCTAAACCCTCATCAGATCAGTCAGCCCTACGCCGGCACACTCCCCAAATGTGTCCCCGTGTCCCCTGCCCACTGCCTCCTCTGGGACCAGGACAAGACGGAGGAGAGTGGGGCCGACACACTCCCACGTCGAAGGGAATATTATATATAACACAGTTTTGGGCAATAAAAATTAATGCCAAAAAACCCACGGTGAACAATCAGTGAGCCTGAAATAAAGACAGCAACGGTCTCTGCCCTGGCACGACTGTGCCTCACCCTGATCCCCGCCTGTCACTCACCCAATAAATGCAGCCAAGCCAAGGTCACAATTTGCTGATTTGCCTTTGTAAGTATTACCTTGAGAATTAGGATCAGGTGAGTTCTTGCTCCCCTTGCCCTAGTCTGGCCCTACCTCCACCTGTACCATGTCCTGCCACAGCTTGGTGGGACAACCCCCCACCCCCGGCCGCCAAGGTCCATATTGGTCTGTCTCTTGCCCCCTTCAGGAGCCACAGTTCACAACAGCCAGAGGAACCAGACGATCTTTCCAAAATGTACATCAGATCGTGCCGCTCCCGTGTGGAGCCATCCTTGGGGTTTCACCATCCTGAGAATGAAACCCAAACCCGACGAGCCGGGGAAGCTGGCTGGCCCACTGTGCCCACATCGACTTCACCGCCGGCCCCTCTGCCCGGCTCCCCGAGCTGCAGCTGCCCAGACTGTTCCTCTGGGCTGCCCTGTCTGTTTGGAATATCCTTCCCCTGGGCCCTCAAGGGACTGCAGCCTGCTTGCCGTTCAGGTCTCAGTTTAAAAGCCACCTCCTCCGTGAGACCCTCCCTGCCCCCTCGTCATGGGGCCCCACCTCTGTATCCATCACAGCTGACTTATTTTCTCTATAACACACATCACTCTTCTGCGTTTCCCTGTGTTAGCCGGGGTGCCACTGTCTGTCTCCAGGTTAAAAGCCACAGGAGGGTGGAGCCCTTGTATGTCTTGGTCACCACCATAAACCCAGCGTCCAGCACAGGGCCTGGCACACAGTAGGTGCTCAAAAATTATGTACAGAACAGACAAAAGAATGAATGAATGAATGAACGGACATCTCAAGGGCATGTATGCTTCGTGCCCCAGTCTACACCCCAATGAGCTTGTCTCTTGGGGCTTATGTATCTGGGCCGAGGTCCCAAGCCTGCTCCCGCTCCCCAAAGTTCACATGACCCCCTCACCCAGGGAGGAGGACGGGCAGGGATCACTCCAGATGGAGGGGCCAGGACATCGGGGACGGAAGCCAGTGGAGCAAGCGTCCCGGTGGTTAAGAACACGGGGGCTGGAATCAGGCGAAGTGAGGTTCCGATTCCTGGACCCATCACTACTGGCTGTGTTTTTAGAACTCATGCCGCCTATCTGTGCCTTAGTTTCCTAACCCATGAAACTAATCTAGAAACATCTATGCATGGGGTTCTTACAAATATTAAAACAAGAGAGTGGTGGCAAAGCGGGGGGGGGGGGGGGGCGGAATACAGTAGGTGCTTGACAAATGGAGGCGTGGCGGCTGCAGCCAGAGACCAGCTCCCGGCTGGCGGCCTCATAAAGGGTCCAACCCACAGTCTGGCAGAGTCCCTTGGGCATATTCCGGTCTATCTTCTTAGCTGGAGTCGCACCATCAACTGATGAGATCACTGCTATTTGTTAGCTCAAAACCATGGAATTTTTCCATTCACTTGACCCACAGAAGGCGTCTATCCTCTTTGGTGGGAAAGCGGGCTCCTAGAGCAACAAAAGGTCTTGACCGACTCCGTCAGCGAGAGGTGGGGAAGCCGGGACTGCAGCCGGGCCCTCTCCAGCGGTGGGCACACCCTGGAAACTCTGGTTCCCCCAGGAGCCACCTTCGTGGTGGGCTCGGCGAGATCCATTCCACACTCACCTGCAGGCTGAGGCCCCGGGGGGAGAAGGCAGGAATGCAGCAGGCCAGGATGGGGCACCAGAACGGGGCTCTGCTTTTCTTGTCCTCGTCCGGACACAGCCAGCCCGGCTGGTTCTCCTCCCCTACAGCAAGAGGAAGGAGGTGGGTCAAGCCGGTCAGAGCCCCGCAAAGCCCAGGGGGCCACCCCCAGCCCCACGCCTGCCCAGCCAAGAGGAAAGGTGACCTCACTCCATGGTCATGGCTGTGGGTCCCGAACAGCGAGTTGGGAAACCTAAGGCTTGGGTCCTGGAGACGAGAAAGGGTTTCAAAAAGCATGTGACGCTGAGCACAGTCCCCAGGCCCTGCTGCCTTCATTGAGAGCTTCCGGACATGCTTCTAGAGGTGGGAGATGGCCCCCCAAACAGGCTGAAAGATGATGCAGCCATGCCGCTCTCCGCCTGACTCTGAGGATGACGGTCAAGAGGATGACTCCCTCCTGCTCCCTTCGAGACCTACCCTGAGTCCCGGGTGGTCATCTGCCTCCAAGTCCCCAGGCCAGCTGGACACTGAGGCCCCGACCCTGGACTCACATCTGGACACCACTGCACTCACATCTGCCAAACTACACCCTGACACGTCTCCTCCCCATGGGTCAGGGCTCCCTCACACGGCACCACCTCCAAGAAGTCCTCCCTGACCACCCTGCCTACGATGGCCCCCTCTCTCGGAAACCGGTTCTAAAGACCACATCTTATCTCCTGCATCGCCTCACTTCAATCTAAAATCATAAAGACCACATCTTATCTCCCTCATCGCCTCACCTCAATCTAAAATCATTTTGTCTGTTTCCTGGTTTATGGTCTGTCTCCTTAGGTCTCTGGAATGTGACCTCGAGGCAGCAAGACCTGGTCTGTCTTGTTTGCCACGGTCTCCCTGGCACCCAGCGTGCTGGAATGCTCCGCGAGCACGGACGGATGGGGTGAATGAAAAGCGGGGGCGGGGGGGGGGGGGCGTAAGCGAGCAGGTGGAACTCTCCCTGCACAGGAGCCCAGCCTTCTTTGCACCCCACGTGGGGACAGCAGGGGCACGGTGCTACAGACACGTTCCCAGGCCTCGCTTTCACAACAATCGAGCACAATCAGGATCACGATGTTCGCTTTAAGGGCAACGACGCCGAGACCGACCCTTGAGGATTAGGTAACGGGCTAGGTCACGTGCATGGCCTGGTGGCAGAGTCCAGGTGGGGACCTGGGTCTGTCCGACACAAATGCCATCTCCCAGCAACCAGCCCCCCGCTGAGGCCCGTGGGTATCACCGACCCTGGACAGCCAGCAGGTAGCTCTGCCCTGGAAAGGGAGAGCCAGAGGCACAGGACAGAGTGCCCCAGGGGACAGGGGCCACTGAACGCAACGCCAGCAGGCTGAGCTTCGGGCCTGGGAGGAGAGGTCTTCTGCAGAAGGGTTGTGACGGCGGCCATCCCCACCCATGAGTCCACTCAGTGTCAAGGAGGAAGCTGGAACCCGGGCCCACCCTGGACCAGCCAAGCAAGGGTCAGCTCAGCCCCACAGGGCCCACCAGCCAGACGGGCTTCCCGTGCTCACTACTGTCCCCTACAGTCGTTCCGCCCCGACAGCCAGAGCCATCCCACTGAGCTTCCACTGGACTTCGCCATTCCCGCATCCATCGAGTCCCATCCACTTGGAGTAAAATCCAACCCTTCCAGAACTGTGAGGACACTCCTTCCCTCGCAGCCTCCTCCCTCGGTCACAGGCTCCACTGCCCTGGGCTCTCCTCAGCAACTTAGACAGGCCCAGGATGTTCCCTCCACGTGGAAAGCTGTCCTCTGCCCTCCAGGCCTGGCTCCTCGCCTCCTGTCACCTTCTGGGAGCAGCCCTAAGTGACCATCACTGTCCCCTGCCCCTCCATCACCTGCCATCTCAGCCCCTGGTCTGTCGTGGCCCTTAACACAGTTTCTGGTGCTTTTACTGACTTGCCTCTTTTTTCCTCTGTGTGCATAAATGTGTGTGCATGCGTGTGTGCACAAGTCTGTGTGCATGTGTGTGTACCTCCATAAGTGTGGGTGTAAGTGCGTGTGTGCATGCGTGAGTGTGTATCTACATAAGTGTGTGCGCGGGAGTGTGTGTGGGAGTGTGTGTGTGCATGCATGTGTGTGCATGAGTGTGTGCACAAGTCTGTGCATGCGTGTGTACCTCCGTAGGTGTGGGTGTGCGTGCATGTGTGCATGTGTGAGTGTACCTACATAAGTGAGTGTGCGGAAGTGTGTACAGGAGTGTGTGTGTGCATGAGTGTGTGTGCACGGGAGTGTGTGTGCGCGAGCATGTGCATGAGTGTGTGTGGGAGTGTGTGCGTGCATGAGTGTGTGCACAAGTCTGTGCATGCGTGTGTACCTGCGTTAAGTGTAGGTGTTGGTGTGCGTGCGCATGTGCATGCACGTGTGTGCGTTGAGTGTGTGCCTACATAAGTGTGTGTGAGTGGGTGTGCGTGCATGAGTGTGTGCGTGTTTGTGCGCATGTGTGCCCACGGGCTCCCCGACTACGCCTGTGTTCCGTGTGAGGTATGTCGGTCGTACCTCAATAAAGTGGCTTTTAAAAATGCCACCGCCACCACAGAAAGGTGGCGTCTCCGTGTGGGTCACGGCAAGAGCAGCTGGGACGAGGTGGCAGGAGGCGATGCTCGTCCAAGACATCCGTAAATGTCGGGCATCACCACGTGCGCAAGAGGCCTCTGCTTCGCCAGAGGCGCCAGCCCTCCGCCCCACTGGCTCCTGGAGGCAGAGTCCAACGAAGCCGGATCCCGTCACTGAGGAGACGAGGCCACCACGGAAAGGCCAACTACGGCATGGCCCAGGCACCCTCACAACAGTGCCGACGTGCCCCACACGGCACGGATTACAAGGCTCTGCCCCGCATGAGGCTTCGTTTCGTCCTTGGGGCCGCCGGGAGTGGTCGGTGATCGCGTCCCCCTCCTACCCCAGAGGGGACCGGAGGCCAGGAGGAGAAGCCCAACGCTGGGCCCAGGAGGCAGGGGACCGACCAGCGGGGGCACCCTGCCTGGGCCTGCAGCACGGGGTGTGACAGCCCAGACCGCCCGCCCTGCGGGGCAGCCGCCTCCGCCTCCACCTCGGCAGGGGACATCACCACACGGCGTCCTGGACAAGCCCCCGGCCGGCAACAAACGAAGATAGATGGGACTCGAGTCCGCCCTGCTCTCAGGGAGCTTAGGGTCACGCAGCCCCCCGCCCAGGCCC